AAAGAACGTTACATATGAACGCTATCTTTTCTTTTCGTGCATGCAAAAATAGCCGGACAATAATATTATTGACGCTTTCATAACTGATCTTCGCATGAAAGTGAAGACCTGCGAGTTTGGAACTCTCCACGATAGTCTTATCAAAGACAGGATTGTATGTGCAATAGACAACAACAGTGTAAGGGAGCAGCTACTACGCAACACTGAGCTTACACTTGAAGTTGCAATTGACACCGTGCGAGCCACAGAAACGAGTAAAACTCAGATAGAAACCCTGACTAATTCAGCCTTAGAAGCAGCAGCTATCAACGTTGGCCAAAAACAAAACCAGAAAACAAAACCTCCGCTAAGAAAACAGCCTCCAAAACCAACAGAGCAGAAACAGAGTAAAAAGCCATGTGGTCGTTGTGGCTCTCACCACAAACCAAGAGAATGCAAAGCATTCGGTACTACATGCCACAGAAAAAATCATTTTGCCCAAATGTGCTTCACCAAAAGCCCAGATTCTGACCACCAAAAGCTTCACGAGGTCGGGCAACAATCAGACACCGACACACACAAAGATCTCTTTCTTGGAGAGCTAGAGTCATCGCAGAAAGACAAGGATAAACTGTTCACAAATTTAAACGAGAATGATAAAAAAAAAACGTTTCAAAGTAGACACAGGTGCACAATGCAACGTTATTCCGGAACATGCTTTTAAAAAGCTAAGAAAAAAGCCAAGCCTGCAGACAACCAAAGTCGAATTGAGGCTTATGGTGGGGTACGCATCCCCATAAAAGGAACATGCACCATGAAAATCAAGCACAATAACAAAAATAAATGATTGATGTTAAATTTTTCGTGGTCGCCGTTGAAAAAGCTCAGCTCTTAATTGGTCTACAAACATGCCAAGATCTCGAACTGATTAGTATCAACAACAATGTGAGTGCAGTAATAGCTAAAGAAACTGAAATCCTTGACAAATATCAAGATGTATTTGCCGGACTCGGTTTGGTGGATGGCAAATTACACATCAAGCTACGTGATGATGCCAAGCCAACTATACACCCGCCAAGAAAAATTTCCCTGGGCCTTATGCCGAAACTCCAGAATTTTCACCGTAATCGACATGAGCAGTTGTTATTGGGACAAGAAACTAGATGAAGAATCATCCCTTCTCTGCATGTTCAACACACCCTTTGGACGGTATAAATTCAACAGACTACCGTTCAGAATTTGTGTTGTGAGTGACGTCATACCGTGAATGGTGGACGATACTTTCAGTGACATTTCCGGGGTTATTGCAGTACATGATGACATCATCATCGCCAGTCAAGACACCCCAGAACATGACAGTGCTCTGAAACAAGTACTGGAAAGCGCAAGATCGCGAAACATCAAGTTTAATCGGAGCAAGGTTCAACTTTGCGTGAATCAAGTCAAGTACCTCGGCGATATCGTGACCGCCGATGGATTTAAACCAGATCCCGAGAAGACAAAGACAATTATCAACATGCCAGAACCACAAAACAAGCAAGACTTGCAACACCTACTTGGCATGGTGAACTATCTTTTGCATTACATTCCAAATATGTCAGAAATCACCGCCCCCTTCGTGCATTGCTTAAAAAGAACATGCAATGGGTGTTATATGACGAGCACAGATCCGTGATAGATAAATTGAAACAAGCGCTCATAAACAGCCCTGTTCTGCAATACTTCAACCCTGACAAGTCAATCACAATCCAAACTGATGCTTTGCAAAACAGAGTTGGTAGTTGTCTCCTCCACGAAGGACACCCTGTCATCTATGCTTCACAGTCACTAACAAGCGCCAAACAGAACTATGCTCAAATTGAGAAAGATCAGTTAGCCATCATCTTTGCATGCAAACAATTCCACCAATTTGTGTACGGAAATGACATTGATTTCCAAAGTGACCACAAACCACTTGAAGCGATAATGACAAAGCCATTATCTCAGACACCTCCGAGAATTCAGCGATTGTTAATCAGGCTTCAAAAATACAATTTAACAGTACATTTGGTACCTGGAAAGTTAATGTTCATCGCAGACACACAGTCACGAGCATACCTGAATGAAACTGTTGAGGATATACCACTCAATGATGACATCGAAGTTATGGCGCACCGTTTTATCTAAGAAATCCCAGCAAGCCCAGAAAAGTCAAAACAGATGAAAGAAGAAACTGCCAAAGATGAAGCACTACAGGCGCTGAAAACACAGATAGCAGAAGGTTTCCCAACACACAGAAAGGCCTTAAAACCCATTCTCATGCTATACTGGAATATCAGAAACGAGCTGAGTGAAGCCTACGGTCTTCTATTCAAAGGAAGACAGCTAATTATTCTAAAACCCCATGCAGAGCAGCACTCTTGATCTAATACATGAAAGTCATCTTGGAATCGAAAAGTGCAAAGCATGTGCAAGAGCAAATTATTGTGTACTGGCCTGGAATGTCACACGACATCCATGACACGGTTGCGAAGTGTTCCATCTGCCTGACACACAGACACAACAATCAGAAGAAACCTATGATTCCCCACGCCATACCAGATCGCTCATGGCAAAAGCTCAGATCTGATGTATTTGAGCACAAAGGAAAACCCTACCTAGTAGTAGTGGCCTACTATTCCAAGTTCATCGAGACGAGCCTAATGCGTGACAAAACCGAAGGAACCATTGTCACGCACATGAAGTCAATCTTCGCAAGGCATGGAATCCCTGAAGAGCTTGTATCAGACAACATGCCATACAACAGCAAGGGATTCAAACACTTTGCAAGTGACTGGGGATTCAAACTCACCACCTCAAGTCCCACTTATCCTCAAGTGAATGGTGTCAGTGAGAAAGCTGTACAGACCATCAAGCGAATTCTTAAGAAGATAAGTACATTGGCCATACAATGGCCTTTTGGAGTACAAAAACACCCCAGTGACAGGAATGACGTACTCCCCATCACAGCTCTTCACGAGTCGCGTCACTAGAACAAAAATCCCAGTAACCACAGAGCTCCTACAACCAAAACTGGTTACGGAGGTCTACCAGCAACTGAAAGCCTGCCAACAGCGACAAGTACATTATTACAATCAAGGCACAAAGCCACTCACAACTTTGGAACTGCAGGAAGTTGTCCGTCTGCGACAAGGAAAAACCTGGACCCCAGCCATTAGTGGACGTGAAAGCAGAAACACTGCGGCCCTACTTAGTCACAACTGCGACTGGACAACAATATCACTGAAACTGTAAGGATCTCTTGCAGACTGGAGAACCCCCTCCTACCCTATCAGTGCCCGAGGACAATGACCATCACATGACAGAAAAGGATACAGAAACTCAGACCATACAAGGTCCCGCCACTAATGAACAGCCTCATGCAACAGTATTTTCCAACAAGTCTCCAACTCCTCCTACTAGACGCACTTCCAGTAGAACCAAAACCCTTCCCACTAAATTTAAGGACTATGCCATGAATTTTCTGAACATTGAACCATGTGTCATTGAACTATATGTCATTGCATTTTATCGAATTTGTCGTTCCTTGTTGTCTAACTCGATCATCATTACAGATCATTACAGTTTTTAGATTTCGCGAAAATGTTTTGTTTTATTTTCAAAAAGGGAGATGTAATAATATTACCATATCGTATTTGATTGACGTGTAATTTTATATACGGACATAAGTATATGAACCACCCTCTTGTATGATCCGCAACTAGATTAATAAATCCTTGAGCTGGTCAACACATACAGTTTAGTCGTTGCCGTTCTTTCTTAAACCAAGTTTACTACAATGGCTGAGAGAACAAGGTATATAACTTATGCTCAAGAAGCAAAACAAGTGCTGCAGATGTGTTACGTCTGCAGCGCTCATCTCACTTCTTGAGCTTAGTGAAAGGGACGTTAGCAAAACGACTCCTAGGCAACACAACTGGTCACTCTTGTTACAGTTATAGTAAAGAAATTAGACAACATTTTCTTATAAAAATGTCTGCTTTAGTCTTCACATCGATAAAACATGTGTCCATGACTTTTTTTGAGAGCTTGCTTATATGTAATGAAAACACCCAGTTAAAACGGACACTAAATGCCATGACCCATTGGTGTCTATTAACCGGACGTCTTGCGACCACTGCTAATAAAAAACACTCAGTTAGCAAGACATTGTTATGAATAGTGTAAAAATAATAACTCATCATAGTTACATGAGCTGAGGCACCCTTATTTTAAGTTTATTACAAAGTTTCTCATGAGTACGTGCGTCGCCAAAAACAACGACGCAAACAAGCTTCATTCAACTCCCGTTCAACTTCATTCACTGGAGATTAATTATTGTAAACAGGTGCTCTAGCTAAAATACAGAATAAAAAACATTGTAACTGGCTAGTTCCTCGCCAAATTCATTGCCTCTTCTACACTAATCTCTTACCTGAAATCGATAAACAATGCTGGCATAATCAAGTATCATATACCATCCATTTATTAGCCCTATTCTTCCAAGAAGTGGAAATATGATGGACAGAGAAAACCACCACCGAGTCACAATAGGTATGCTCCGAAACCAAATTCCCAGCTCGTTTTCTGCCATATTCCCGGATATAAAGGAGTGCTACGGGACGTTAAAAATGTACCTTTTACCCGAAAAATGAAAAATACCCGGTATATATAAAAAATCTTGTTACATTTTTTGACAACAGACTCAAACGTGGCAAACAATCACCGGCGGCTCACAACACAACGCACGTGACGCATTGGTGCCTGGGATACTAGTGTAATCGTTCCCAGGCTACAAACGGGAACTTATTTTTTCGCGAGGTCAGTTTTCTGATCTGATTTATTTCCAGAGAGGCAAAATACAGTATCTAAAACCATTCCTTCATTCTCAGCTTCATTTCGTTTTTCAAAAAGTCTGAACGTATTAAAATTGCTAGATAAAATGGAGCAAGCAAAACGCATACAGTATCTAAAGATTATCTGCATCCCGGGTCTTCCTCGAGATTCTGGTATGAAACAGTTTTCGAGCGTTTTCCCCGATGGGTTTTTGGAAAATTTTATAGGAGTGCGAAGTATGTTGGAAAATTTCCTCAGTCAACGCATATGTTCATATGTTGGAGAGCTAGAAAGCATGGGACAGGAATGAAAGCACAAGCCTCGTCAGTATGTGGTTCTTGGTCCGCGACTTTTTCCAAAATTATAAAATATTTCGTCGAGAAAAAAAATACGTTGAATAATGAAAGATATCGTGATTTACTGATTAGCATTCTTTCATGTGACGAAGTTTCGGCTTTCCTGCTGTGGGTGAAGACGCGAAATTCAAGTTTGTTGACAGGTAGGTTAATTTGTCTTTCTTGAAGTTTGGTTCTCTGCGGCACCGTAAATTACATGGTCATGTCTACTTAGCCTGCGAATAAATAAAACGCAACGGAAGACGTGCCTTTTTGCAGAACAGGTTTTCAGATCAACTTATTTCTGCTGTTGGAAGCATATTGCTGTAGACTCTGAATTTTTTGTTCTATCGACTCTTGGAAAGTAACATTCACTACTAGATAAAGTTATGGTAAGATGATTTATCACTCAAAATCTCGTACCAGCCTAATGAAACATCAGGGGCACCCGACGTCAATCTTCGGAAAATATCTGTTCGGAAGACGATTTGAGATCTAGAATTTTCGGAACATTTGTTGTAAAATTTCTTGCTTG